CCCGCCCTCATATCCCGAGTAATCCATTAGTCTTTTTTGAAATCCTTAATCAATCTGCATTCATAAGAGAAACGAAATTTTAATATAGGTTTATGGAAATTCTAAAAAGTTTTGAATTGGCTGAAATTCATGAAACAACTGTGGACGGGTATCAAAAGATTGTAATTAATCTATTTGTCTTTATGTTGGTGAAGGCAACTCAGTTCATCAAGAACGCAATGGGCTTATAATGCAGTAGGTAAGCTCATAGGACTTCTATAGTAATCCTTGAGCATAGACATTAACTAAACTAATTTTTGAATGGTATTTTGGATCGATTTCCTGACTGCCGGTTAATTAACAGTGACCTCCATGCCCAAGCCTAGTTTAATTCCCACAGCAACAGAAACGGAGACGATTTTCAAGGAAAGCTACAAGTCTCTGTTTGCCCCCGCGGGGATTTGAACCCGGAATGGCACCGCGGGAAGCTAGTGCTGCCCATGAGCCACCTTAGGGCTAGCGACTAATTTAAAGATAAAATAAATACACAACAGTAAACAATTGCAACTAATTATTTAACATTCTTAGAAGTTAAAAGCATAATATGAGAGTCAATATTTCTAGAAAATAGGAGTGCATTAATGTCTTTTAGATCACATTAATCATCTTCAATTGAAGGTTTATTTAAATGGCGAGAACTGTGGCGATCCAAATTCCAAGAAGTAATATTATTCCCTAATTTGAATAATTATGTTAGAGATACTCGTACACCGACCAGTATTTCGAAATTAAGTGGCTGGATGCGACACGACTGTAGTGCTCTCTGCCGCGTTGCCTGGCCCGACGTCTCAGCGAGGAGTCTCGTGTGATTCGTACAGTTCAAGAAAATAGGCGCAGAGGGAATGGCGTTACATTACATCCTTCTCCATTAGAAATTTCCCAGTGACAAAGAAAGCGTCATGAGAGGTGTGGTAATGCCCAGTTTCTTTCATATTGGAAGCTATTATCAGAGTTCATTATATTTAAAAAAAAATGTTTTCTGCAGGGGATAGATGTCTGGCTAGTTACGAAATTCTACAACTAGTGGAGGTACAACAACACATCATCTTCTCGCATTACGTAACCTTTGAAATATTCGGAAAGTCAGAAACTTCAACCCAAATGAGACATGCAATGTTTTGAGCGTCCTTTCTTCACCAGTCGAAAACTTCAAAAAATAAAAAACAATTCGGAGCTGTTTTCTGAGATACGTTTTTATATAAAATGCATTACTTTCAAGCAGATATTACGCAAAAATTATTATTTTAAAAATGTTCAACTTTTCTGAAGATCTGATTTTTTAGAACAGATTTTATTTAAGACAAAATTCTATATCTTCATTATTGAACTTTTGCAATGTTATTTTTTGCGATGTTCGAAAATGCAGACAATTTGTCGAAAACGAGGCTAGCGGCAATGTTTTGCCGTCCTTTGATACATACGTGGAGAAAATTTAAAGAAAAAAGAGACCGCTTTTGAGAAAATAATTGTTTAAAAATTACGCGAAAACTAAACCTACTCATATTTTCCGATTGTTGTACGTGATATTATTTAAAGACCTTCGAACAACAGATATCTTTAAGAAAATAGTGATGCTAAAACAACATGTACATTTTGGCCCGTATTTTCACGCTAAACTACGCAAAACTCAAATTTTTGAAAAATTGTTCATGGCCTTTGCAATTTGAATTTCGAAAAATTAGAGTTCATGTAAAGTACCCCCGAAAATTAAAATATCGGTTTGAAATTCAAGGGACCGGGACATCAGTCAGATCGATTGGGGAATATCAATTTTGGAGGAAATCGGCTGAAGCCGCTAACGTTGTACGAGTACACAGGCGGACGGACAGAGGGACTGATAGACGTTTTACCGTCATTCGATTTTTCGGTATGAAGGATTCACAAAACATGATAATGGCTATATCAGGTGTTAGGGGATTTTGTTTTCATTTAGCAATTGAATTTATCCACATTTTCATTACTAGGGAAAGAGCTATTCTGCCGAAACTTGTCCGTTTTTACGCATTATTACAGAACTTTCTCTCTACTCTGTAGCGAGAAAGTAAGCATCTCTATCTTGGACATTGCAGTTGTAGGAAGACACCGATAAAAAATTTGAACTTTTGCAATTTTCGAAAAATCAGAAATTTCAACGAATAGAGATCCGGGTCATTTCTTTAAATTTTCGTTACGCTATTCGAGGACAAAGTGAAATAAAAAATTTGAAGACATTTGGAGAAACTTTTAAATGTTCTGAGAATGAGAAAATTCAAAATCATGATATCTGTTTCAAACTCGCAGGGCCTTGCGTTCATTCATATCGACCGGAGAACATTAATTTTAAAGAATATCGCTTGGATGATTCAGGCACTAGCGTTGACCAGTCATACGTTAGGCCGTCAATCGATTTTTCGGTACTAGGATCCACATATTACGAATTATGATGATTCAGCGTGTTAGAGGAAGTAATTTACTACATATAGGAATATGATTTATCTATTTTCTACCAGGGCCCGATAATGAGAGCTTTTCTTTAGAAAAATGACGATTGCCGGCGAACGATTGCTAAACGCTCCCTTCTTACAAAGTAAGTCGAGAAATTAAAAAGTAGTAGAAGCACTGAAACTACATTTAAATCGTTCTTTCTGTATATTTAAGAACGTATAGAACATGTATCTAGCGGTTCCAAATTTAACTTCGTTTCTTATTTAATCTTGATCCGACTTCGATTGGGTGAAATATCAAGTTGCGATCTCGATGATATTACTTACATTGGATTACTAAATTTTATTCATGACATCTCTGTAATTTACTATTAGGATATAACTGTTAAACTATCTTTAAAAATAAACAAATGAAGTCAACTGCTGTTGCCTGCGGAGAGGCCCTGCCCTAAAGAGGAAAAAGGAAACGTGGCTGTGGGGTTTCGCTGGCTGCGTGGTCTGTCCCTGTGTGCACGTGATGCGTGCAGCGACAGCCGCGGAGCTCAGGGAAAGGCGGCGCAACAGGAGGCGCTCCGCCAGGCGAGCGTAGTATTTGCGCCCCTCCCAGCAAACGTCAAGGTAGGGGTGTTATTTGTTTTAGTGGTGTAGTGTAAGTGGCGTCCCTGGCGAGGGCCACCCATGGCACGTGCCATGTCTGCAAACCGTAGATGCGCGTCTGGTTGTAGGAGGGAGCTAAGGAAATATTTCTTACACTCCCGGGATGCGAGCTCCGATCCTGCTGTTAAGCTTCCCAGTTCTCTAAAATAATGTTTAAATAAATGCTCGCCACCGATGAAGTTTTATTTTTACTAATTATCCTCGTACAGATTTGCAGAAGCTGAGGTCGCTGTCGTAGGATCATTTTTGTGCGCTCCTTTTACGCTTCCGCTTCCGCTTCGCCTTCCGTTTCTCCTCCTTCTCCCCCTTCACCCGCTTCCGCTCCTTCCGCCGCTTCCGCTCCTTCTCCGCCGTCGGCCGCCTCTCCTGGAGCAGGCTCCCCCTCCGCGCCGCCTTCGCCCTCGGCCCCGCCGCCGTCCGCCGGCGCGCCCGGGCCCGCCTCCTTGCCCCCGCTCTGGCCCGACTTCCCGCTGCTCACGCTCCCCTTCCGGTTGCCTTTGGAGTCCACGCTCCCCTTCCGGCCCTTCTTACCTTTCTTTTTCTTCTCATCTGAATCGGAGTCGCTTCCGCTTTCAGAGGAGGAGCCGTGCTGCTTCTTCTTCTTTTTCGGTTTGTATTCCTGTAGAAGTTCTTTGTAAGTAGTTCCGCAGTTGCCAAGATTCTCTGGCTTTTCGTCAACCAAACGAATCAGCAATCTGCAAAAGACAAAGCTTGTCAGCTGAGTTTACATTACAGTCACTCTGAAACGTGCTTTCCAGATAAACTAAACATGTAGCCGAGTTTAAATCAGTGTTCGACGAAAGGGGGGGGGGTCCGCCCTGTGATGAATTGAAATCTACCGCCCGTGGTCATCAACGAATGAGGTTCTATTCCAACAGCCATGAGCACGGTATCTGTAGTAATTCGCAGCGATCCAAATAACTGCATTGGTGTCGATCAGCTGAATGTAACGAATTTTAAGTACATTACAGACACTATGTCATCTTCGATCGGTCAAAAAGTTATCAATTTGTATCCTCCCTCAGTACGCAAGACCAGGCCTTAATATATTAAGAGAAGCCAAAGCTTGGGAGCCCACAAAAAACCAAATTACATAAAAATGCCTCGTGACAGCCACGCCCAGACGTTGCAATTATTGCATTATCAGGACCAGCGTAGCTTTTGAAATTGATTTGTAAATGAACATGCACATAACATTTGTCATGATCCTCAGTGCCAGCCTGCGATGGCCGACGATGGAGCAGCGGAGGAGGGAAAGGAGGAAAAGGCAAGGGAAACGGGAGAACCCCGACAAAACGCAAGCCCACATTTGAGCCCGGCTCAGCGGAGGAAGCCAAGGCTTACTCGTGGTCACATCGTGGTTCACTCAATATTCGATTCTAATTTGGTTGAAAAATCTAAAATTTAACGCAAGGATTTCAAGAATCCGCTCATTGCAGTGAGCTGTAAAAATGGAAGTTAGCAATTATAAGAGAATTGCAATTATAAGCAGTTATAGCAATTATAAGAGAATATTTTAAACGTACTATTTTGACTATGTATCGGTATATTCTACAAACTGATATGATGAAATAGTTGAAAATGTGAAATAATTTGCAGTAATATATTGAGTCCCCCTATCGGACTGATGTGAATTGGTGGAAGTAGGGATGCGTTATATGTGGAGGTTTAAGGTTACAATATAAAGTTATTTGAAAATCATATTAGTTTTGTAGTGTGAATTAAATACATTTATTTTTAGTGTCATTAATGAACTAATTTAAAGTTCGCATATTGACGAACGATTATAAAATGCCGTTTAAACTTAAGTACGGAACCGTTGTTGAGCGCGGCCACTAAGCACGCACGCCGTCCGCTGAGAGCTCCCTCCCCGCCCGTGGGCCCTTCCCATACCTTTTCCTGGAGATGCCGAGGAACTTCTCGAGATGCAACGTGAGCGCGGCCACGTAGCGCTTGTTGCGCTCCTCGTCGATCTGGCCGATGGACATGAGCTGGGCGAAGCCGCACGGCTCCGTGCTGCCCCCGCGGCTCATGTTCAGGTCCGTTACCACCGTCACACAGCAGCGCTGCCGACAACAGCGACACAAACGTCAATGCCACTGGGAGCAAATCCCTCGCAATGGTCGTGTACTTTGTGGTGGGCAGCGCTGTTTCCATCAAACGGTCTTAGATGGGTCAGGACATCAACCGATGCTACCGCACTGCCTCTGACCTAGGGGAGCAGAATTCTAGCGGCCGGCTGCTCCGGCGAATGCCGAAGCGGTACCCTACCCAACGGGCCACGGACCGTGTGCGTTCTTTCCTTCCCCTTTCTTGTCCTAGACACGTTGCTCGGCGCCGCATCCCTCCATCCAACGAGGGCAGGTGGCCGCCGCCTCCCGCCACAAAGACACACGTCTAATGACCTTAGCAGTCGACGCGCCCGAAAACACTAATCAACCAATCAACTATTCCAAAATTATTCAAACCTTCCACGTATGACTATAACGCTAATGAAGTCCACGCCTTGATACTGGTCAACGGGGATCTTGGCCTTGGAACCAAACCGTCATTTTTGTTCTTTTGCTGAAAAATACATTGCGGTCAAACCCCAAACTTTGCTTTTGCGGTCAGGGCACGTAAAAAACGTTGTATGTACCTATTCGAAAGAAAAAGAAAAAATGCAACAAAAAAGTTTCTAGATATTACAAAAGTGTAAAATGTTAATAACTGTTACTTGTCGTGTATACTATTGGTCTTGTAGGACGAATAAATATTAGTTTTTGCAATTTAAATAGGTTCCCACCATTTGTCTCTACAACGAATTTTGCATTAAAAAACGCTTCAATTTTGCGTTTCTCGATAACTTGTCGTAAATTTATAATCAGATAACAAAATATTTGACAATATATCTGAGTGTGTGACCAAATTTCATTTTACTCCACATAACAGGGAAATACTGGTTATGTTTGAAAGAAAGAAAAATTGATATTTCGTCGACCTGTGTTACCTATAGGAAGAAGCCTCGAAATTGCCTCCTTGACATTGTTCAGAGAAAGCACAATTCTCGACAGGAATAAGAGCGAGAATGTAAAGAAATATTCATTACGATCACAGACTACAATGTCTCTTCGGACAATCCTAGGACAAAGTATATGATGGAATGGTATGCTGTTGAAGTGATTTGGATGATGGAGCAAAAGGTGAATAAGAGGTAAGGAAAAACGGATTATCACAAGGAAAACAGGCGTATTTCCCATATCTGGGTAAATACACATTCCAATTACATTTTCAGAAACATGTTTAACACTGTGAATGTGTTAAAGTATGAAAGAAAAGTGATATCATTGTTACAGAATGTTTAAACCTGTATCATTTCATCAGTTTTAGAGAATAAAAACATGTAACAATAATTTTGGGATTTTCAATTTTACGTAAATGACATAATATAGTACTTTTCGGATACAACTTTTCTACAGTTCTTTCTTTACGGTAATGGAATTTCAGGGGTTCAGCTAATTTGTGTTTATTACCCAATCCATAATTTTTCACACTATGGTACAAGTATTGTGTAAAGAAATAATTAAAACCTTGAAATTGGAGAAGGTATGCAGCAAAAATTCCGTTAGATTGCTTAAGCCAGAAAATAATTAAGATGAGCAGTAAAGATAGAGTGTAGGAGCCCAGAATTTCTCAATAAAAGAAGTTGAAGTGGAAACAGGCGCAAGCCGCAATCCTGCAATTTCGAAAAGTAATAGAACCTGAGCCGCAAATGAACATTAAAAGAATTCCCCTCACGAGGCACGAGAGAAAATAACTATTTTCCTACTTAAAGTTTTGGTACTGGTTAGTTAATGTAAAAAAAAATTGGAAAAAATATACAAAATTTAATTATAAAAAGTAATTTTTATAAGCCAAAGAATTGCCAAGTACCAATAAATGGAAGATCAAAACAGAGTAAGTATTAACGGACTTCCCCAAACATTGAATATTCTAAAAAATGTTGTCCCTATAGAAGCTATATTCAAAAATAAGCAAATTGAAACTCGTTAGAAAGTAACGCAATAACTAGATGTTTGCAAACGTACTTAGAATGCAAGTTTTATTAGAAACCATTATGAATATACATTTATTTAGAATCGATCTGGAGATGTAAATCATTTTTTAAAATCGAATGTGCGTATAAGCAATTGATCAACCCTTTCAAAGAACGATATCCTGTAGGGGTAATTAATGTGTACCTCTCACGTATCCTAGATGTTGGATCGGATTAAATCCTCAATGGCGCCGGATACATCCGTCTTCATCCCAGCAAAACTCAATAGAAACGAGAATACTACCGGTATTCGCCAATTATACTCGTACTCGATGTGTTGATTCCCATCAACAAGCAAATGAACATCTTTAACAAGTAATTTTAGCTTCGGGAATTCCCCAAATCGGCGAAGTACATCCGGGATGACGGAAGCTAAGTGACGCGGTGTCTTCTATTTCTGTAGTGGACGGGGCGCGAAAGAGAAGGCGTGCGTTGTCATGATGAAGCAGCCAGTCAGTGTTTGCTCTCGGCATCCTTAACTAATCGAAACTTTAAGTAGTTTCCTACGTGGGTAACTTTATCTAGGATTGATTCAACACTTATTCCTTCCAACCATTCTGATGATCCGAAACTTTGCAAAGAAATTCGAAAAGTCATGTAGAATATTTTATTTAACAATTAAATTTCAAGGTGATAAAATAGATATAAAATATTAAATAATTGAGCTTCTCCTGAGACATTTCGATTTTAACACACATCACAATATAAAACATAGGTGTCTCGTTTCAGACTCCTTTCATCTCAAATAATACATTGCCTTTGCGGTACAACAAATAGACAAGCTACTTCAATGCATTTTCTAGAGTACTTTATGGAAAACAGAGTATGAAAGGAAAAAAACTTAAAGTTTATGCTATAAACAGTATGGTAATAGATCAGCAATGTGGCATTTGTATATTACAATTGAATTTGCCGAATCGTTCCGCAATCTTTACTCTTTTATAAATGTGTTTATAGTAAAGGTCTTCATGACCTTCTCCAGCAAGTTTATTAGTTGCAATGATTCAATAAACAAAATATATAGCGTTAATAGTTCATTTGTTAATAAAACATCATAGGATAGAAACATTTTTTGGAAAAATTAAAGGAAATCGTCTTGGAAGACCATAGTGTATGAAATCGTATCACATTTTGACATAGTGCTCTAGTACCAGTTGCATCGTTTAAGTTTATCACTTTAATGATCGCACTGAATTCGTAAATTACGTCTTCATGTAGGGGTTAATTTCGTTTTCTAATAATATTGTTAACTTTTCTGTAGTGTAGTTCACTCGATAACATTTTCATGTGTTCCAGTATCATTTCACTACTTGTGCTTGAATTCATTTGTCATCTTCACACCAAAATTCAATCGTGAGATGTAAACAAGTTTCAATAATCAACATTTGCATTTAAAAAGGATTTAAAGCAAATTAATGTTAATAAACTCTTCAGTCATAAGAGACAGATGACGAAATGAAGTTTCATTGATCTGATTTTTTAACATTCTCCCGAAAAATATTGCAGTAGAAAGAACAGCTCGAAAATAAAATGGAAGGAATACATTTTCATGTGTGTGCGTGCATAGCAATGCGGACGAGTTTTTAGGAAGCTTTGACTGTTTTCGTTCTGAACACACAGAATTTGTTGAGTGATGACGTGATTCGCCCGAATCCATAATTCCGGAAGCAACTGACAGTAAAAGCTTGCCTCCAAAAGAGGATTTTCGAAGGGCACTGTTGATAACTCATAACCCACAGAGATTGTGGTCTTTGTGAAAATTAAGGAGTAATGCTGCTCTCAGATGAATTTTCAGAATTTGAAAAACTTCGTGTGTACTGTTCCTCTTCACCACTGCTTATGCATGATGATCCGACTTAGTAGAATCTACTATTCATTCTCTCGCAAGCCATATCCCTCGTGAGCTTCCAACATTACCCGTCAAAAATCCTCTTTTGGAAGGACACTTGTACTATCAGTCGCTTCCTTCATGATGGGCTCCCGCTTCCAGCGGCACTCCTTCGTCGACCGGATGAAGACAAACGTCGTGGGCCGATAAGAGCTTCCCAAGACATTCGCATTGCAATGTAAGCTCAAATGCGTTGAGTTATTCCGATCCCATTCACAGATATTATGAAAAACTTTGACGTATGTAAAATACCCACAAACAAAATTATCAGAACAGATAGTTTCACATAGTCGTAAATCCTTATCGCCAGAAGAAAGAAAAGACCATCTTTGCTAATATAGATCGAAATATATTTCATCGCTGTCATTCGAACTCCTAAGATTCCTCCCCATATACGATCTAAAAAACAAGACGCCCGTATGTTCATAGTTTTAAGATACTGGAGTTGATTAACCAGTTATTCCATTTTTCCGCAGAAAATATGGAAGGACCAATAAACGAGTATTTATAATTGATAGTGTTACATTTCCAGCACCTGGGTGACACGGAACTGCAAAGGTTTAGATGGTCCACTGTAACGAGAAAACTGCGCTTAATTTTCTGTGCAAGTTCCAAACACCGAAATCAATACATTTCTGGTCACACACGTCAGTAAGAAAACTGGAACCCATTAGAGGCCATTTGCTTAGGTACAATAAGTCTTTAACCATCTATTAGTTCAGCACAGAAATGATACATCTGATGATCTGAGAAAGATCAGAAGAGTCTTTAATGAATAACTGCTTAAAATAATAAATAATTGCAATAAAAATATCCATATTTGTTTAGTAATATTTTTTAATTAATCATGATATTTTAAAATGGGGACGAACAATTTCTATTTAATTAACACTGAAATTAAGAGAATGAAATTATATTACAATAAAGTTTTCCTGACCGGGTGACCACTATTAAATTCATAATCCCCTCTGTACATAAAACATAAAAAAGACGATTTTGTACCCTTTATAAGAAACCACCGACACAAACCCGGAAGTGCTTCTGCTGGATAAGAAATTACCCCAAAGGCCTGCACCAAACAGACGTCGAAGAAATTAGAAATT